CTTGATAAAATTTAATTGCTACAACTAATGGGGGGAGGGAATGGAGCATACCTTCGTTTTTTTTTTTTTGACAAATTATAGCATATAAAAAATATATTAACAGTTTATTGGGTATATATGTACACCTTATATAATATTTAAAATTTAATTCATGTTCGTATTGCGTGGGCAAATAAGTGAGAATGAATTTGCGATAGCGCTTGAGATTCGATTAGTTTTGTGAATGTTGGGGACATATAAGTTGAGATCATCATAGCAATCATGAACCATTAAATGTATCTTTGATGGTGATATTAAGGCAAGTTTTGATACATTTGAGTTGTCATCATACTTTCTATTGTTAATAGGAGAGTTTGGGTGACTGGGGTGACTATAATTGAACATTCGTAGATGATAGACATTGGATGCAAATTGTTGATAGGTGTTGGATGATGTTCAATTGTTAGAATCTTTTTTCTTTGAAACAATTGAGTTAAATAGTTTATGTTCATCAAAAGTGTTATTTATAAGACATGCATAAATATATATATATATATATATATATATATATATATATCCGCCATATATATATATATATATATAACTTACATATGGGCGAGGGCATATCTTGTGCCTATTTGAGAAGTGACAATGTATTGCTTCCTGGGTTGGTTCAGCAACACCACGTGAATCAGTTCAATCAAAGGGACCTATGGGTTGGGATTGTCACTTATTATACGTAGGGTTGTAAATGAGCCGAACTTGAGCGAGCTTAGGCTTGGCTTGTGTTCGGTTCATTTGAAATTACTCGTATTCGAAATCGACATGTGTTTGAAATTGGCTAATTAACAATATGTTCATCTTCAACTTGATTTAAATATTATTGTTTGTGTTTTGCTCATGTTTGACTTGAAATTGACTTTTTAAAATTAATTGAAAAAAATAAATGTTGGGTGTTGGGTTCCAATCTACACAAACTCCGTGCAACAAAAGGCGCAAAAGTATCACATGACCACATGAGTTGTTATGTGGTACATTTAAGTTGAGATCATCATAGCAAACATGAACCATTAAATGTATCTTTGATGGTGATAGTGGTACAAGCCTTGAGACATTTTAGTTGTCATCATGCTTTCTATTGTTAGTGGGAGAGTTTGGGTGATTGTCATTGAACATTCGTAGATGACAAACATTGGATGCCAATTGTTGATAGGCGTTAGATGATGTTCAATTCTTAGTCCCATTTTTCTTTGAAAGAATAGAGTTAAATAATTTATGTCTGTCAAAAGCGCTATTTATAGGACATGCATAAATATATATAGAATTGACATGGGGGCGAGGGCACATCTTGTGCCCATTCGAGAAATGACAATGTATTGCTACCTGGGTTGGTTCAGAAACCCCACGTGAATCAGTTCAAATAATGGGACCTGTAGGGTAGAATTGTCAATTTTTATAAGTAGGGATTGTAGACGAGCCGAACTTGAGCGAGCTTGGGCTTGGCTCGTGTTCAATTAATTTGAAATTGCTCATGTTCAAAATCAACATGTGTTTGAAATTGGCTAATTAATAGTGCGTTAATCTTCGGGTCAATTTAAATATTCTTCTTTGTGTTTGGCTTATGTTCGGGTCGAAATTGACTCATTAGAATTAATTTTAAAAAGTAAATGTTGGGTGTTGGATTCTAGTATGCACAAACTTTGTGGAATAGAAGACGCAGAAGTACCACATGACCACACGAGTTGTTATGTGGCACCTTTAAGTTGAGATCATCATAGCAAACATGAACCATTAAATGTATCTTTGATGGTGATAGTGGGACAAGCCTTGAGACATTTGAGTTGTCATCATACTTTCTATCGTTAGTAGGAGAGTTTGGGTGATTGGGGCGCCTATCATTAAACATCCGTAGATGAGAGACATTAGATGCCAATTGTTGATAGTCATTAGATGATGTTAAATTGTTAGTCCCTTTTTTTTTTTTTTTTGAAAGAATAGAGTTAAATAGCTTATTTTCATCAAAAGCGTTATTTATAAAACTTGCATAAATGTGTATAAACTGACATAAGGGCGAGGGCATATAGGGTTGACGACGAGCCGAACTTGAGCGTACTCAGGCTTGGCTCTTGTTCAGTTCATTCGAAATTGTCATGTTCGAAATTTGTTTGTGTTTGAAATTAGCTAGTGAACAATTTGTTCATCTTTGACTCAATTAAAATATTTTTGTTCACGTTTGGCTTATATTCAATACAAAATTGACTCATTAAAATTAATTGAAAAAAATACATATTGGATGTTGGATTTCAATTTGCACAAACTCTGTGAAATAGAAGACACATAAGTACCTCATGACCACACGAGTTGTTGTGATTTATACATATATATAAATAATAATATATTATTATGTAAATAATATATATAATTTCTTTATTTAGAGCTAAAATGAGTCGAACATGAGCAAAAAAAGGATTATTCGTGTTCAACTCATTTATAATTCGAGCTTAAAAAAATTTATTCGTGTTCGACTCATTTAATTAACGAACAAGTTTAAACGAGCTACTTAATAAGCCAATCACGAGTTATTCAAGAACAAGTTTTTTTGACAACCCTAATTATAAGCATGTTATTTTTCATGTTTGAGAGCCATTTTGATTGTGTTTCTGTCAATTTAGCCATCACTTCTCCTGTTTCCTCTTTTATGGATGTATCCATGAACAGGTAGTGCCCTGGTTATATTTCGTTCTAAGGCATGACTATCTTACAAGGGTCGAGTGGTGCCCCGACTAGAGCTTATTCTCGAGGTGGTATTTATTATTGAGCCCCCTTCCTCTGTAACCCTCCATTCGTTGTAGCCAACACCATCCTCGCCACATAACACCGTAAAATTGTCCTATAGTTGTTTTCCCATTTAGCTACCACCCAACATCTTTCCACCATACTTCCTTACTTCCAGCAGCCAACCATCTTCATTGCTAAACCCAATCATCACCTTCCTGACTGCACTGGCTGTCAACCATCCATGTTCTCTACAGTCTTTGCAACCACCTTCACACACATTCCCCTCACATCACCACCTCCATATTTGGCACACGCTCCTAGTTGAGTGATTGTTGTGTTAGTCGTTGTTATTCCTCTTTCCATGCGCCGGTTATAACTGAATATTGACTTTTCAATGATAATATATGTTTATTTATTATTATTTGGGTTAACTCATATATCAAAAACTTAATCATGAACATCTATTCTAAGTGGCCATACAACATAAATGATAGGTTAAATGATTTATTTAGCTCTTATTTATTTGGATGGTAAACATATTTAGGCACCTTATGTACTAATTAAATAGAAGCACAGTTAGTTTATCCTTACATATCAAGCTATGCACCAATTTAGTGCCACAATGTATTATAATTAAACCATTAAATGAATTTTTGGGAGGGTAGATAAAAGAAAAAAATATTAGATATTAAATAATAAAGCAAGGTGAAGTTTATAATAAAATTGACTCAACTCCACCGACGCAATAAGGAAGAGATGTGGTATGCATGAGGTGGTACAACTCTTGGGCATCACTGTACATAGCGAATGAACTATCATAAGCACCACATACACATTACCTTAGTTTACCAAGCAAGAGAATAATTGTATATGAAAAAGCTATTAAATTTGTCTAAACAAGGTCATCTAGTTTTATGTTACCATGAAAAAATGATATATTATTCATGTATTACATTATACATATGATAGACCTTATTGGTCAATTCACCACTTACATGATGAAAATGTAGCCCATCATAACTTATTTTGCATGAAATTTCTCGTGCCAAATATTTTGACATGAGTGATAGGATCAGACAGACTTTATTATTATTTGTGTTAGGTTGACTTGCATAATTGAAATTAATCTAAATTTCACATGATTATGATTTGTGTTTTGATTAGGTTGACTTAATTGGATTAAATATATAATATTTAGTTTAATTGAGCTGTTTTGATTTGAATAATAAATGAGTTAAATTGGTCAAATTTGTGTCATCAGAGTTAGGTTGGATTTCAACCAAATATATTCAAGTTGAATCCAAGTAAAATATGTTTAGCCGTATTGATTTTAGGTCAAACACAAACCCTATCCATCAACCCATTTAAATGAACATAAGAAAGCTATATAATATGCATGAACCATGAGTGCTAAGATTTAATAAATGTTATAATTTTTAGGGGCATTTACACACATACCACACAATTCTTATGTATTGACACATGCAACACCTAAACTTTTAACATTTATATTTGTAACACTTAATTCCTATATATGTATTTATATATTATGACCTGAAATTATTTTCTTTTCATTTGTACTACTCATATCTTTAATATGACATAAAAATATCATTATTTTAAATATAAAAAATATTTATATTTGGCATTTTTAATTTTAGTATTTATTAAAATATCAAAATAATTTCAAATTATTTTAAAATTGAGTTTTAATAATTTTTCACACAAATTATTTAAAGAATATTAGTAATATTTTGGTATTTCTATAAAATAATCTGAAAATATTTTGGGGTTTTATTTTTTTAATAATAAATATTATAACTTTAATAAAACAAAAAATTATTTTTATTTTATTTCTCCGACAAAGTTTGATTTGGGGCCCACCTACTCGATGCAATCTATTGCTTTTTGTGGTCCACAAAAGTGCAGCATACATTATTTATATTCTTCAACAGGAGGCTGTCAACTGTCCACGTTGCATTATTCTTCACCACAAAATCAGATTTATAATTAAGCTTAATTCTCCCTTAATCTTCTTTTTGTCCGTCTTCCTCACTTCAACTGGCTCTGATTCTCTTTTAAGCCATGTAAGCTCTCTCTCTCTCTCTCTCTCTCTCTGAAGTTTAAATGATTTATCTTTTTCTGCATTACATGATCCGCTTAACTTAAAAATCAAATTTTTATTTTTTTAGTGTTTTTTGGGATCATTTTGTGCATTTCACATGTAGATTAAGATCTCTCTCTCCCTCTCTCTCTCTCTAAAGTGGAATCCTTTTCCCCTTCGTCTTCTTCATCATCTTCTCAAGCTCCGGTGAGTTAGCTGATTACTGCTGTACAGGAAGACTACGTGTTAGGTGAGGGAGACAGGTGGTATGAATGCAATATTTAAAGTTTAGTTGTTAGATATGTAAATCTAAAACTTTCCAGTGGTTGTTATTTCTCTTTATTGACATCATAATTTTTGAAAGTTAATTCTATTATGTTTTTTTTTATTACTCTTAATATTTTATTATATATATACATATATATATATTATATATACATATATATGTGTGTGTGTGTGTGTGTGTGTGTGTGAACTCAATTTTCATAGCTTCTCCAAGCCTTAATATATTTCCACGCACTTCATAATTATTAAAAAGGATGTTATATTGCTTTTGAATTAAAAAAACCTTAACCCAGTCATAATACCCCAACATTGCAATTCATGCACATCTTAATTTAGAGAAATTTGGCTACAAGTGAACTTAAAGTAACAAAAGTGACAACTGTTGTGGTGGTCCACCATCCATATAAGTAGGGAACAGTCACCAACACAAACTTTAGGTATTTCTGTTATTGAATCCAATAATAGCATCTGAGAAACTGATATTGAAGTAATTGAACTACAGCATGAAGAAAACAAATTTAATGAATTTCATTACTCTGAATGATTTTAAGGAGATGGATCAAACATGAAGAAGTGGATAAGTAGATGATAATATTAAAACGAAGTTACACTTACGTTTTGGCTTTTTTGAAAAAAAAAAATGAAATTTTCACGCGTATTTCGCATAAATCTCTAAAAAATGAGACGATAATGTTGGTATGTAAAAGAGAATCATAGAATTAAGTTAAGTGCCTCTGAGATGAGAATGCTCAGGTGTATGAGTGGCTTTACACTTAGAGACAAAATACAAAACGAATATATATAAGGGTTGGAATAGCCCCAGCGGCAGACAAGATTAAAGAGAGTCGCCTAAGATGGTTTAGTCACATCAAAGGTCAACCATCTGATGGCCTAGTTAGAAGAGTTGATGTTTTATATTTGACTTAAGTTAAGAAAGGTAAAGGTAGACATAAAAAAACTTGGGAATGTTGCATAAAAAATGATCTTAATTTATTTGAATTAAAGGAAAATATGACACTCAATAGGGCATAAAGGAGAAAAATTATTCATGTAGCTGACCTCACTTAATGGCCTAAAGGATTGTTGTTGTTTATGTTGTTGCTTAAAATCTCTAAAAAAGTTATTTGATTTTCATAAATAAAACCAGTTGTCGTGACATAAATGAACCATTGATCTCATCGTTTGAGTTCTAAGATAAAGTACTAACTACATATCTAAAATACAAAGTCAATTGAAAGTGAGAAATAGTTAAATTTGAAAGTTTTTTTTGGTATTGAACAAGATAATGGCACTGACTTTTCGTATAAATGCTCGAAGGAATCAATTATTATCTTAAAAATAATGTGTAAGAAAGTATCCCAGCCCGTCAAGAAGGCTTACATGTAATATTCTAGTACATAAACCATAGACCAATGGCAACACATTTAACTTACAAACAAATTCATCGGAGCTGAGGTAATTAACCTAATTACTTTTCTAAGCGAAAAAATACTTGAAGTGGAAGTCAATATACATTCCTTAAATTTTACAAAACATTATATGAGTTGAATACATCCTTATATGTATGTATGGTCCCAGGAAAAAAAAAGTTATATCTTTTAACCAACAAAACAACTAAGCAATCTATCCAGATATATTCAAAGCAATCTACCAACCACAAAATAGGGATGAAGAAATTTGTAAATTTAGCAAAAAAGCCAACCTTTCTTCATACAATCCACAATATGATCATAGCTAAATTGCTCCTCCTCTCCCCTTCGTTCTACCATCACTTTCCGATAATCTTCTAACATCAATGGGGCCAAAGCCTTTGTTGGATACTGATTAAAATGAAAAAAGCACAAGCTTAACAAGGTAATCACTAATAACATTCTTGAACTCCATATAACACATCATATGGGAATGAATGTAATTGAAAAATGTACATAACATTCTCAGCCTACATATAACACATCATATGAGAATAAATATGATTGAAAAAAAGTGTGCATGTATGCATGTGTCATCAAGAAACCATTAGGCATATGTAACCACATATGCAAGAGATTATAAGTTACCGTAGGATGTGATGTATTAAGATGGAGGAAAAAAACAATACCAATAACCTTGAGCCTTGAATTCTAGAGTTAAATCTTTTGTAATAAGAATAAAAAGGCAAGGATGTTGAGGTTAATTCTTCTCTAATAGCTATATCTTTTCTTCGTTTTGCATATAGCAGTAAATGCTAAATTGTTTAAATTTGATTTGTTTAAGTTTGTGTGTGTCTTTCAAATTCAATTTCACCATCATTGTTCACTAACATAAAAGAACAGCGGATTCCCCAAGAGCAAATAGTCCTAACCACAATTTTATAGATTTTTGGGCAGGATTGAAATGGATTGTTGTAGAGTATGAGAGTAATTCTTTCTTCAAATATTTTCAAGGGATTGGGCTGAGAAAAGTGTTTTCCACCAAAGCCAATATAGCATGACCAAACATACACGCAAAAAGCCAACCACTATAAAATTGTTCATGTTCTTCTTGTTTATAAGATGTTGTCCATGTATAGAAATATTATACATGCATTCAATAATTTCAATCAATAAAAGTTGAACATTCTTGTACAAATCTAGAATTCTAAATAATAAATTATTTCTATAAATGATAGGAAATCAACTCATATTGTTCTGATAAATTTTCATGAGTTCAAATTTATATTTTAAGAAAATGTGCTTTCATGATAATAAATAGTATTGTTGAACATTTGGAGTTGACTTCAAGTAGCATTTTCATAATGATTTGCAGTAAACTTGAAGCATATTTTTCATGAAGAGTTAGAGTAGATTTGAAGTAGCTTCTTCATGAAAAATTATAGTTCACTTGAGAGCTTCTGCGTGAAGTCTCCAAAACTCAACCCTTCAATGTGTGGAAAAAATGCAAAAATATTTTCAATTCATAAATCTTAGAAAATAAAAGCGTCAAAAAAATTAAAGCCATTTTTTCAAGAGATCAATTGTTGTGAGATATGTACTTCCTGGCATAGAAATGAGACGAAAAAGAACACAAGCAAACACAGATCGTT